AACACTTCCTAGAAATAAATTAGATTTTCCCCCAACAGAAGATGGAAAAAATCATTCGTCTACTTGTTTGTTTGCAAAAGTTGTCACACTGGAATGTGACAACCTTATAAACACAATTCTGTTTTAGAGTTGTCTTGTTATTACATCTTTAACCCTCTAAATGACTAGTTGAAGACACCATTAAATTGTAGGCCAGCATCCTCCTTATAAGCAGGGACTCTCTCAGCTCTATCACTTTCTGGCTGAATAACCTGTGGCTAGTTAGTTTAAATTCATAAGTTTTTGCATCTGCAACATGAGGATAATAAGCACATCTTCTACAGAGAATAAGTATAAAGATTAAAGATAGAAAGATACATACTTAAACACACACACACACACATACACACACAGAAGAGTCCATGGCAAGTAATCAATGCCAGGTAAGTGTTGAAGTTATCATCATGCTTCCCATGACCACAAACAGAAGTAATATCGTTGGGCTTCTTATTTCACTGCTCTGCTACAACTTCCTGTCAACTATCTCTGAGATTAGCCTGTAGAGGAAACATGAGGTGGATTTCAGATGTCGTAATTAGAACCTCATGGTTGCATGGGCAAATTTCAAGAGAAAAGATTTATACATAAAATACGTAAACATAACTAACTAATGATCTGAAAAATCTTAGTATGAAACCCCGCTAATATGAATGATTTCTACGTGCTTAATGATCTTCAAATTAAGAATGTTCTAAGGTTTTCTTGACTACTTATGGCACCTTTTCTTTGTTTTGTGTTGAGAGTGAATATACATATTATGTAGAATACATAATATATATTATGTAAAATATCAGTCCCTTCTGGTGCGGTGATAATCCATTACTGAGAGTGATAAATATACTGCATTCTTTGGCCCCTCAAAAAAGAAAGCAAAATGGTTACTTAAAAAATTTAAATATCTTGTCTTTCATCACTCTAATGTGGCATCCAAATGCAATTTTTATAATAGTTTTATTGAGGTAATTCACATACCACACACTTTATCTACTTAATGTGATAATGGAATGGTTTTAGTACACCCACAGAGTCATGGAAATCACCACTACAAGCGAGTTTAGAATATTTTCATCACTCCAAAAAGAAATTCTATCACCTGTTAGCAATCACTCTCCATTCCCCCTCTTGCTGCTGCTGGCAACTTTTTATCTCTACAGATTTGCCTATTCTGAACATTGCATATAAATGCTAATACAGTATGTGCCCTTTTAGGTCTGACTTCTTTCATGTAGCATAACATGTTCAAGGGTCCTCCATGCTGTAACACATATCAGTACTTTGTCCCGTTTTCCTATTGTATAGATACACCACACTTTGTTTATCCAGTCATCAGTGGATGGATATTTGTATTGGTTCTGTTTTGGGGTATTATGAATAATGCTGCTGTGAACATGTGTTTATACATTTTTATGCAGACATATGTTTTCATTTCCCTGGAATATATATACCTAGGAGTAAAATTGCTGGGTCATATGGTCCCAGTTTAATCTTTGAGGAAATGCCAGGCTGTTTTCCAAAGTGGTCGCATCATTTTGCCTTTCCACCAGCCGTGCACAAGGGTTCCAATGTCCCCAAACCCTTGCCAACAGTTGCTATTACGTCTTTTTTTATTACAGCCATCCTGGAAGTGTGAAGTGGCACCCAAATGCACTTTTTAGATGTCAAAACATGGAGATACATTGGACAAGTACAATATTTTATGACAAGGGGAAGTATGAAGACATTAGGAAAAGGATCCCAAGGGTCAGGCTGGAAAAGGAAGAGGAAATGTTTTTGAGTCTGTTACTCAATTTCGTGTCCTTATGCAACCACCTGCCCTATCCCAAGGGTCAGGATTGTGAACAGCCCTCGATTTCACATCTGGAGCTTATAATAACCCTAACAACTTATCTTGGTTTATTGATTTATTTCACAACATTCCTTTCCGCGTTATATTCCATTGGGTCCAACACCACAAACCTTATGTGGAAGGATATTATTATTCCTATTCTGCAGGTAAAGGCAATAAGACCCAGAGTGGCTAACTGGTTGCCCCCTTCCCCATAAGGTAGATAAAATAAATGAATATATATATAAAAAAAAGTTAAATGGATAAAATCCACAGAGCTGGGCTTGGATGCCAATTTTTTAAATTTCAAATCCCAATCCTTAGTTTCCTCTTTCCTTATCACCTTCATTTACCCCAACTTTAGTGACCCAGAAAGTAATGGGTAAGCAAGAGAGGACAGCAAGCAATTGTGTGTGTGTGTGTGTGTGTGTGTGTGAGTGTGTGTGTGTGAAGCAATTAGAGGCAGGAGGCCTTCACATCACAAAGTCCACATAATCAGACTGTTAAGAGAGCAGCCAGGGATGTAAAAACAAGTTGGGACAGTGACAGCAAGAACAGTGGCATGCCCACTCCTTAATGAGAGGTCCCTGCAGAAATCAGGGAGCCAGAGCAAAAGGCCACCTAAATCCCTAAGTTCTGATTTTGTGTTATCTGTGCTTTCAGCAGTGTATTTAATTACACACACCGTATTTATTCAAACATTTATTGAGCAATTATTTATGCACTGGGCACAATGCGAAGATGAGACTTTTTAAAAAAGCAATGACTATAATTTTCCAAAGTAAAATTAAATAGCTAACATTTACTAAACTTTTTACATATAGCATCACATTTAATCCTCACAAAATTTCTCTGAGAAGAGAGAAGTGGAAACTGAGGCACAGAGAAGTCACGTAAATTGTCCCATGGCCACAGAATGAAGAAAGGGAGGAGGTGGAATAAGAACCTAGGTAGCCTGGGCCTCTACCCTGTGTTCTTCACCACCTCCCAGTCCTTCCCGCCAGATCTTGCTCGGCTGGGAGTCACACGTGGTGACACAAGGAGACCAATACTATTAATTCCAGCAACCATTTCTTGAATGCCCATGAATACATGAAGCCCAGGGGAAAATTCTCACAACCAGCCCAAAAAGTACTTATCTTTATGACTGCTGTAGAGGAGGAAAGAGTTTCAGAGAAGCAAATTAACCTGTCCAAGGTCACAGAGCTATAAAAGCTAATGCAGATGTGATGCTTACTGTATATATACCAGGCAGTGTTCTAAGCACTAACTCATCTGATCCCCATCATAACATGATGAGGCAGGTTCCATTATTATCCCATTATCTTAGTTAAGAAACTTATCCAAGGTCCCACACTAGTTAAATGGCAAAACCAAGACTCATTCTGGCTTAATGTCCTCAGCAGAACAAAATGCTGGGGTGCGGGGGGGGGGGGGCCGGGGGGTGGTTTAAGGGGACTAAATGGTAATGGAAAATACAATAAAAATAAAATTTTAAAAAGTGCTGAGTCTTGTCTACAAAGTGGCAAAACAGAAATTCAAACCCAGGTCTGTCTTAACTCTACAGCCAGAGAGAGAGAGAACGAGCCCTCTATCTTCTTACCAACATGCTAAGCATGGCCCTCAAACCTACTGAGGCAACAAAGGGTGTTAGGGAAGAAGGGAGTAACAGGAGCTCTGGGGGCCACCAGGGAAAAGCACTTAAGCTGCATCTTGAAGGTGGAAGTAAGTGCTTGTTGGACAAAGAAGGGCACCATGCAATTTATTAAAGGAAAGAAAATGTATCCAAATGGGGACTTTGAGAGGACAATGTAGTGAAAAGAGGCAAACAAATTATTTAAAAGTGTTTCAAATTGAATTATAAAATCGTTACTGTTTTAATTTTCAGTTAGAAACATTCTTGATGAAGGAAAACAAGCTTTCATTCACTTAAATCTGGCTATATGTTTAAAACATCATCAGGAAATAGAAATAGACAGTTCTTGTAACGTTACACTCAATTCTTACTTCAATATTTACTTCCTCAATCTAAGTGCTGCAAGCAGCGTGAATGCCAAACCTTAGGGATCTCTGCAAGATTTTCTCTTCTTCAAATCTGTCTGAAACACAGCATTTAGAAACCATGAGCCTGGAGATTCGGACCAAGAACTGGAAGGAACCAGTGTGCGTGCTGTTACCGCGGAGCGAGAGGACAGCAGGCAAGTCTGTGGCTCAAACACTGCAGAGGTCGGGGTTTTTCCTGGCAAACTGATTTATGACCAGAAGAAGGGAAGCCGCGGAACCGGTCAGACCATAAGTACAATGCTCAAACAGGAACCCAAGAAGGACCAGGAATGGGATGTAAGTAGAAAGCGGTGCTGGTTCTAAGGAAGGTCACTGCCCGACCGGGAAGAGACCTGTCAAATCCTAATTCTGGCAGCAGCGGGGCCGACGGACTCGGTATCCCAAATGTGCGCGCTGGTGGAGTCGACACAGCAGCAGCGCAGCGGCACAAGGTGCCTCCACGCCCCCTTGCGGGCCCAAATTACGACTGATGAGGATGTGCCTTTTAGTGGTAGGTACACTGTTTCAAAAATGTTCTCCCAGTTTAGCCCTCACAACCGCCTTTTAAGAGAGCCGCGGCGATCAGCCCCATTTTACAGATGAAATGCTGAGGCTCAGGGACGTGAAACAAGACTTGACTGTAAAAAGGAAACCTTAAATGAGGGCGATCGTTGGGCTGGATCCTTTTATCCAAGAGTAAATAGGAGGGGACTGGAGCCGGCTGGGGCCCCCACACCGACCCCTCTGGCTCTGGGGGTGGATTAGGAGCGGGCTGTCAACCCGTAGGCCTGGCAGCGAACGCCCCGGTGCCAGGGGAGAGGGAGCGCGCGCGGTGGGCGGCAGCGCGTCTGCGGGCGCACTGCGTACCACCCGCTCGCTTGCGTCCGCCTCTAGAGCCCCGCTCCAATGCCCCAGGGCGCCGGGCTGCAGCAGCCAGGCAGAGGCGCCAGGCGGATGGTCCACTGGCCCGCAGCAGTCCGGGAGCTCCGCTCCGGTGGCAAGCCACGAGCCGCGGCGCGCGTGCGCGCAGGACAGCTGCGGACACGGGCTGGCAGGATCTGCGGGAGCCCACGGGCACTACTCCACGCCTTACCGTAGCTGCTCCCCGGTGACCAGGACCTCGGCCATGCGTTCCAGCTCCCTTTGCTGTGCCCCGCCACTCCCGCTGGGGCTGCTGTCGCTGCCAGCGCTGCCAGCGCTGCCAGCGCTGCCGCCCTCCATGCTCCCAGCCGCGCCGCTACCACTGCCTTTGCTGGCCGCAGCGGGTTTGGGTGTTAAATCAGTCTGCCCTTACAGAGGCCTCTCTCGCCATATTTGTTAGGGGCAATTCCGTTGCTCAGACATGATTGGCTGGAAAGGGAATCCCTGTGGGTAGGCTGGCGAGCCGGGCGAGTCGGCTCCAGGAACTCCAGCTTGAGGGCGTGGCTGAAGCCCTCGTGGTCGGGGGCGGGGCCGAGGGAGGAAAATATAAACATCTGGACGCTGCGCGGCTTCTGTGTTTCATGTGCCCGTGGAGATTGAATTAGGTGAGCACTGCTTTTACCCACGAAGCTCCTGCTGTGGACCTAGGGACAAGCTGGGAGGTTACTAAACAAGTGTGAAGATATTTTAATTATACTGCCCATGCCCCAAATTGCTAGAAAGTAAAAATAATAACAGTATAGCTAAACAGTGAACGGGAAGAATATACAGGTCACTGCAGGGCATGAAGAAATTAATGTTCCAGTCCCAGTTTTCTTCACCAAAGACAGTTTACTTATCTGGAGGTGTTACCAATAACGAACACTGGCCTGGGAATCAGACAGACCTGGAATCCAGTTTCCCGCTTACAGTTGATTCTCAGTTTACAAAACAAAAATAATTGTGGCTACCACTTGTTGACATCTGCTGCATTAAAGATGCTTCGGATGGTTGTTCCCTTCTTTAGTTAGTGCAACAAATCATGAGATGGGTATTGTCCTCATTTTATCTGCGGAGGTCTCAGAGAGATGGGGAGACTTGCCCAAGGCAAGCAGCTAGTAAGTGCAAGAAGCATTAAGAATGAAACCCAGGATATTCTGGCTTTAAAGTTGTGTTTTCTTAAAGATTGCCTCTTAAAATAGAGGTACCAATATGTATCAGTGTCTTTCATCACAGTGTGGACAGAAAAAAAAATTTTTTTTTTCCTATGGAATAATCTCACATGGTAATCTGATCACTCATTCCTAACTGAGCAGGCCACTGGTGGGTAGTAACACCCCAGGCATATAACCTCTTTACTAAAAAGGCCGATCTTTGCCTTAGGCAAGCCCCGCCCATTGTTCCTGTGCAAGCTTATCTCACCTCTGAAATGCCTCTTTTCTGACTGCTCCTTCTACGCCTGCGCCTGCGAGAGAGCACAGAATCTTAACTATCCTGTAATATGATACACATGTTGCTTTCTCCCACCTTCTTGTATTCTTCTTTAAGTCCCCTCCTTAATCTCAAATGTGTGAAGAAACTGCGCGTTTCCTCTCCGAAGCATTTATTTCATATTTCAGTCTGTTGAACTCTTGCTTCCAGAGGTAGACTCTGTTCGGCTCAAATAAATCTTTATAAAAATTCTCTGCTGGTTTGGGTGTTCTTAGGGTTCTTAGGTTGACAGCCGGTAGTGATCTCCTGTTGGCAGACCATGCTTTGAAGACTACTGGTTAATGGCGAATGGCTGTGTAAGACAGCCAAACATGCAGAAGAAGATTGTCAATGATGAAGCTTAATAACATGTTAACTATCATTGTTGATACCTTTTAATGCACACCTGTATTATTTCTGCCTAATCTTAAAGATTAACTTAAATTCCACCTCTCTGTCATACTGTCTTGCATTCCCCAGGCAGTGTGTTGCTCTTTTCACTGAAACCTTACATGGTATCAGGAGATTTAATTTTTAACCATTAATAAAAGTCTTGATTCTCCTGCCACTACAATTTTTATTCTTCCTTTCTGCATAGAAACAAATTGGTGGTTTAGCAATGTCCTGGTTAGATATTTCTGTTGATATATTCTTAAAGGGAACTTGTCTTTAGAAAATAAATGTTAAGATAGAGAAAAATTAAATGTTTATGTATTTATCATTCACATTCATTTTTAATATCTCAGTTGTGTTTGAGTCACCTTTTTGTGGTGATAAAAATAAAACACTATAAATAAATGTGAGGTCCTTTTGTACTTCAGTCCCAGCCCTGCTGACTTCCTAAGAAATCTTGTTCTTAACCTTGGTTTTCTGCAATCCTTGATGCTATTCACGGAAGGGCAAAACAAAAATGCATAATACTTTGGTGTATACTGCCACCTACTGACTCCTTCTGCAATGACACTAAATGATAGTGGGTCTCATAACAAAAAGGCCACCCTTAAGAGTACCTTTTAGAAAATTTTTGGTGCAGGTTGTGGTTTGTCACATTATTGGGGATGCTACTGGCTTTTAGTGAGCAGGGACCAGGGATGCTAGATGTTCCCATTTGCTTGGGACATCACTTTACAAAAAAGAATCGAATTGTCCTAAATCCAGAATGTTTTTGTTATATCCTGTGGGTATTCTTGTGGAGGAAAATTCTACGTGCTGTTATCTGAGCCTATCACATAATTTGGATGTATGTGGAAACACAATGTACTTTATAAACACCTTTAATATAACCCTGAGTTGTCCAGGATGCAATTATTGTATACATCAAGAAAAGACTGTATTTTGCTAACTTCCGAACTTTACCAAGAAAGGTTCATCATTGCATAAAATGTTTTCATTTGTGCCCTGGCTGGTGCGGCTCAGTGGATTTGAGCGCCGGCCTGCGAACCAAAGGGTCGTTGGTTTGATTCCCAGTCAGGGCACAGGCCCGGGGTGTGGGCCAGGCCCCCGGCTGAGAGGCAACCAGTCAGTGTCGTCTGTCACATCGGTGTTTCTCTCCCTCCCTTCCCATCTCTCTAAAAATAGATAAATAAAATCTTATAAAAAATAAAAGGAGATAAAATGAGAGTTAATGTTTGGTAAACGAAAGTTTGTTGGGGTTATCTGGAAACAAATGGGACATTTTGATTCAAAGGACTTTGCTAGCTTCCTCCCTGTGTATCACACACTAGATCAGATTAAACTGTACTTATCTATGATGATACCCACCTTCCTGAATTAGGTCCTCATTTGTTCTCTATCTAAATCCTTTTGAGGGTGGGGAGGGGAAGGCCAAAGATTCTCTCTGAGTCGTTTGTTTCTCAAAAATAGCTTCAAATAATCAGTATCCTTTTTTAAAATTTTTATTTATTTCTTTTTAGAGAGGGAAGGGAGGGAGAAAGAGAGAGAGAAACATCAATGTGCGGTTACTGGGGGCTGTGGTCTGCAACCCAGGCATGTGCCCTGACTGGGAATCGAACCAGTGACACTTTGGTTCAAGGCCCACACTCAATCCACTGAACCACACCAGCCAGGGCAAATAATCAGTATTTTACAGAGGCATATTTTTGGGTGGCAAACTCTGTTGCCCTTCGAAAGCAATCTAGGAAGTCACAATTCATTCCTAAACAATTTGGCAGCAAAGAAATTGCAAACATGATAATGGGAGATCATGTTTCAAAATTTATGGGATACTGCCAAAAAGAGCTTAGAGAAAAATTCATATTTTTAACTGTTTTTATTAGAAAAGAAAGAAAGCCTAAAATCAATGATAAAAGGCTAGGAAAAAAAAGTAAAGCAAATCCAAAATAAGCAGCAGTTTAATAAATACACAAATAAAGAAAAAAACTAAAATAAGTAGCAGTTCATGTTTACCAAATATTCCCTTTTATTTTGTCAGGGACATGAGATAACTTTGGGCACAACGAGTGTTGCTGGTGATGCTGGCTCTGTTTTGGAGTTTGGTAAAGAAAGAATTCAGAGCCCCAGACTCTAGCCCAAGGAGTGTATTCAGCAGGCAAAGTGAAAGTACACTCGAAGGGAAGGTTCCAGTGGGTCCTTTCAGAAGAGAAGTCACAGGGGAAGAAGCGAGTCAGCTGGGATGAACAGGCTCAGGAAACAAGCCACAGAGGCAAAGAAGGGTCACTGGAGTCAGGGTCAAAGGTTAGCCCCCCCCGCCCCCGCAAGTCTCCAGTTCCCCTCCTAGCTTAGGAGGAAGAAAGCAAAGACACACACCTGAAGGGAGAAGCGGTAGGGGAGGGGTGTGGATTCCTCTAGGGAGAGCAGGTGCTGGGTCCTTTTTTCTAAAGATTTTTATCTCTTTTCTGAAAGGCAGGAATGTTAGGGCATGTCCCAAGGGAGGATCTCAATAAAATATTCATCAGTTTGTGTTCTTTTGTGACGGAATAGCAAGTGGGTTCCGGCTGCCTGCCGCCATCCTCTGGACAAAATTCCAGAGGCCAAGGTTTGGTGAAAAAGGGAAGGAGTCTTTACTCAAGAGCTACACAATTTTGGGATAATAGCTTTCCATGTGCATTATTCACTTAAGCTTTACCAATTAAGACTAAACTCTTTAACTCTTTAGTACAGCTTTAATCATTTAAATCTATCCTTTAAGGCTAAACTCTTTAACACCTGAGTTTTATCTCCCCCTCCCCCATGAGTTTTTCATTATCTTATTTCTATAAGGTGAGTTTACAAACTAAAACCATGTAAGATAGAAAAGCTACACAACTTTGGAAGAATGGCAGACTTCTGCCTCAGAGGTGGTCCCCTCTAGAACACCCAGAGAAGAATGACCTTGCCACTCTCTGCCAGGCTGGCCTGATCCTAGGCTGCACCCTGGAGTTCCTTCCCATCCAAACTACCACCTGCAGGCAGCTGCAGAAATATCATCCAGGCATCCTTCAGGGAGAAGGGCCTGAGAGCCGGCCTCTGCCCTCTTTATTTTAAATCTTCCAGCAGCTCACAGTTCCTTGCACTCTGGAAGCAAGGCATTCAGCTCCTCAGCCCATCCAGTCCTAGGCTGTTCACCATCACCTGGGGCAGCCTCCTCCTTTGGCCTGTCTCTACTCCTCCCCAGTGCAGAGACTGATCAGATCTGTCTGTATCACTTTAATATGCCGTCTCATCAAAATAAGCATATAGGATCAGGAACTATAAGATTATAGTTTCTACTGGTGGGTTGGTGCTGGGGTAGGGGAGTCATTGGCCATTGCATCTGATCAATCCTGACGCTGGCCACGGCATTGATTCATCTGGTTTTGATTCTTTTCTGGGCCTGGATCTGAAACACAACCGAGGACTAGATTTTGTCTCTATTTTGGCCAAAACTCTTATCTCTGTGGTCAACAGCCTCGGGACTTTGTTCCTAAGATTATCTGATGCAGATCAGAAACTCATTGCCCTG